GGCGGGGGGAGCTGGTCTGTTCTCTACCCTTGGATTTCAGGTTTGGATTTCAATTCCATTTGACTCACTTCTTAATCTGATCCAGTATCTATCTACCTATCTACATACCTACCTATCTACCTATCTATCTATCTATCTATCTATCTATCTATCTATCTATCTATCTATCATCTATCTATCAATCTATTATCTATCTATCAATTATCTATCTTTCTTTCTTTTTTAAGTATATGTCATGTTTTGGCTTGGTTTTGTTCATTATTTCGGGACACAACTTGCTTTCATCCAAGCCTATTTTTAAAATCTATATAATAAAATCCACTTTACTCTCATTAAGGAAGAAAAAGATACTTTATCCTCTAAATTTCTCCTTTTACGGGTGATTTTTCTCAAATAATTTGGCCAATTTCTATTGTTAATTTTTTCTCCAGAGATGATTTTTTTTTCTAACTTGCTTATCTTTAAATTGGGTGTTTTATTCATTTTGAAATCACCCAGAGGTGAAAGACTGAAAAAAAAGACACGCCCCTCTTGGACAATGGAGAAAGCTGAGCGGCAGTGATGTAAAGTATGAAGTCTTCTGCTGCCCCCCCCCCTCAGGGCCCCACATGGCAGGACATGTTTCTTTACAAAGACATGAATTGGTTAGCTCAGGGGGCTGGTACTGCACTCATCTCCTAACACTCCTTCCAGTCTCTTTACAGGATAAGGAGACCTGTCAGTGCCAAGGAGGAATACAATCCCCTCTGGAGAAACAAAAGCCAGAAGTGATTTCCACTACTATGTGCAGGGAGGGAGAAAAGGAGGGAGGGAGGGAGGGAGAAGAAGGCGGCTAAGTAGCAAGAAAAAAGCTTGGAAGGGGCTGACTTTCAACACTTACAAATGCTTGCAGAAATTCCTATTAGAATTAGAAACTAGTTTGAATACCAAAAATGCCACGTTAAGAGCCCAACTGCTCTATGTTTAGCAAGTTTATACAAGACAGTTTGGAAGCACAGGTATCTCTGTGACATGTACGGGATGACACGTGTCCATAGCTCTCCACCACAAGTGCGAAATGAAACTACAGTCTGTACTTTTAACCGCTATGTTAGAATAGATAAAAGAGGTCACTGAATCAAATTTTAATCTTACCCTGAAAAATCAGCGGAATATTGTCCATAATCAAAGATATAGACTCTAGTAATCTGACACACTGTGAGGTATCCCAAAGCAAACAGAAAACAACATCTGCAAAACAAGAATAAGCCGGGTTAGTGGAGGTGTTCATTCTGTCAAAGGGCACATTGTAAAGAAACTCGCTAACTCGTACGGCTCAACAATGAGATGGTATTAAATCTACCCTACAAATAACTCCTCTAACAGATTACGGGAGCTCTCTCCTGATAGTGGTGAATGGTCGATGGAACCGACCACGGCTGCTCTTCAATTGTATTCTGAACAACGGCCGCGTGTAAAATTACATGTGACGGCCCTGAGCAGAAGCATTTGACAGACGGCTTTTCCCACTGATCAGTTCCTGCTTCCATAGACATGACACAATTCTTACAGATTTCCCCCCTCTTCATCTGCGTGTGCATGCTTCTGCATGTGTGTGGACACTAGCTCATGAAGACCAGAGGTCGGTGCTGGGAATCATCTTTGATCATCCTCTCATTTTATTCACTGGAGTACAGTCCCTCAATCAAATCCAGACCTCAGCAGCACGGCTTGGTCTTCAGACCCCTGCCTTCTGAGACTAAAACTGCAGGCAAGCAACCACCATGCCCACACACATATATGAGTTCTGGGGAGCTTGACCTCTGGCCACATGCTTTCCAGTAACTTAACTTGATTTTTAAAACGTGCCCTCAGTAGCCTAAAATCATAACCTTCAGAGAGGATCAGGGGGTGCTCACCCGTAACCAGCTAGTGACTTTCACAAACTCAAGGTGCTTAGGATGGTATTACTACTAAACGTAGTATGGAAAATGAGTTTACGTATCAGTGTAAAGAGAACAGAAGAAACCCCAAAACATATCCTAGAGAACGTCACATCACACAGGACAAAGGCTGCAGTTCAAATTCTCGGGGAACAGATGTATCACTAGCCAGCAAGGAAAGTGGGGGAGAGGAAGCTAGGCCTTCCCCATGTGAAAACCTTTCTAGATGGATTCAACAGTCAAACATGAAACCATAACAAGTGGGAATTATAGCTCTCAAACTGGAGGGTTTTCTAAACACTCAATACAGAAGCAATCCAAGGGAAAAAAAAAAAAAAACAAACTATTTGGATAAACTAAATCTTAAGCTTCTCACATATGTGATTCAGCGGGCTTTTATGAATGAGTTCTTTAAAGCTATAAAAAAAGAAAATCTGGGGAAAAGAAGAAAAAAACTGGGTGAGTGATGCACACCTTAATGCCAGCACTCAGAAGCAGAGGCGGGAAGGTCTCTGTGAGTTCAAGTCCAGGCTGG